GGATGCAGGGTCTCACTCTGTCCCAGGCTGGAGTGTACTGGCGTGATCATGGTGATCATGGTCTCTCTCTCTCTCTCTCTTTCGCCTGCCTCAGTCTCCTGAGTAGCTGGAATTACAGGTGTGAGCCACCACACGCGGCTAATTTCTGTATTTTTAGTAGAGATGGGGTTTGACCATGTTGGTCAGGATAGTTTCGAACTCCTGACCTTGTGATCCGCCTGCCTCGGCCTCCCAAAGTGCTGGGATTACAGGCGTGAGCCACCACACCTGGCCAGGCTGAACTCTTCCAAACTTCTTAAAAGCCAGTTACTAATTCTGGAGCAGTGTCAGTGCTACAGGACAACTTAATTTTTTCACCCCATGATTACAAATGTATCGAACAGTGTGGAGGTTGTGCAATTAGAAATTGACCCACAGTGCTGAACTTTGACTCAGAGCCTGGCCAGTCCAAGAACTTTTTTTTTTTTTTTTTTTGAGATGGAGTTTCGCACTGGTGCCCAGGCTGGAGTGCAATGTCACTATCTCGGCTCACTGCAACTTCCGTCTCTCAGGTTCACATGATTGTCCTGCCTAAGCCTCCTGAGTAGCTGGAATTACAGGCACATACTACCACATCTGGCCTTTTTGTTTTTCTTTTTTTTGTATTTTTAGTAGAGGTGGGGTTTCACTATGTTGGCCAGACTGGTCTCAAACTCCTGGCCTCATAATCCACCTGCCTCAGCCTCCCAAGATGCTGGGATTACAGGTGTGAGCTACTGAGCCTGGTCTTTTTTTCTTTTCTTTTTTTTTTTTTCCTGAGACGGTCTTGCTCTGTCACCCAGGCTGAAGTGCAGTGGCACAATCTCGGCTCACTGCAACCTCTGCTTCCCGGGTTCAAGCGATTTTCTCTCCTCAGCCTCCCAAGTAGCTGGGGTTACGGGTGCGTGCCGCCACACCCAGCTATGTCTCAGAACTACTTTTACTTTCCTCTTTTCTTTTTTTTTTTTTTTCTTTTTTTGAAGCAGGGTCTCTTGAGCATAACACACTGCAGTCCCAATCTCCCAGGCTCAAGTGATCCTCCTGCCTCAGACCCCTGAGTTGCTGGTACCATAACCACACGCCAACAGGCCTAGCTAATTTTTAAAATTTTTAGTAGAGAGGAGGTCTCACTGTTGCCCAGGCTGGTCTCAAACTCTAGTTCTAGCGATCCTCCCACCTGGACCTCCCAAAGTGCTGGGATTACAGGGGTGAGCCACCGCACCTGGCTGAACCTTTCCCCTCTGAGCTGAGCCCTTCCAAATCCAAGCCTCTTCTTGCAAGCTAATTCCTTGGGATCTGGCATTCCTATCTGGCACCACCTCTTCTTTTTTTTAGCCTGATTTATGATCACGGAATTTGGATGTAGACCAACACCTTACCTCAGTATGCACAAGGTTTTGGGTTGATTAACATTCAGGAGATTCTGTAAATAGTATCGAAATTCCAGCCTGATTTTTCTTGCCTGCTTCATCTGATGTGCTCTATTGGAGAATCACACAATTTTGCTTTTTCACAGAATTACTGATTCTTTAAAAATATTCAGGGTCTTGGCCAGTCGCGGTGGCTCACGCCTGTAATCCCAGCACTTTGGGAGGCCAAGGCACACGGATCATCTGAGGTCAGGAGTTCGAGACCAGCCAGGCCAACATAGTGAAACTCTGTTTCTACTAAAAATACAAAAATTAACCAGGCATGGTGGAATATGCCTGTAGTTTCAGCTACTCAAGAGGCTGAGGCAAGAGAAGTGCTTGAACCTGTGACGGGGAGGTTGCAGTGAGCTGACATCTTGCCACTGCACTTCAGCCTGGGCGAGAGGGAGACTTTGTCTCATAAATAAATAAATAAAAATGAAAAATAAGGCCTGGTGCAGTGGCTCACACCTGTAATCCCAGCACTTTGGGAGGCGAAGGCGGGTGGATCATGAGATCAGGAGTTCGAGACCAGCCTGACCAACATGGTGAAACCCCGTCTCTACTAAAAATACAAAAATTAGCCAGGCGTGGTGGCATACGGCTCTAATCCCAGCTACTAAGGAAGCTGAGGCAGGAGAATCACTTGAACCTGGGAAGCAGAAATTGCAGCGAGCCAAGATCCCACCATTGCATTCCAGCCTGGGCGACAGATCGAGACCCCATCTCAAAATAAATACATACATACATACTACATACTATTCAAATGGTCTTGTCTTCCTCTGCACCACAGCATGGAGTAAACCACATTCCAAGATTTTTCTCTTTACTGGAGAATAGGATTAGGAGCCAACATCTGCACAGTGGCCATTGACCAATTGTCAGTGAGGATGGTGGAGGATATCCCTTAACACCAAGAAATGTTGTTATAATATTGTTTTAATTGTTCTTATAAAGGTTTCCACCAGGTGCAGTGACTCATGCCTGTAATCCCAGCACTTTGGAGGCTGAGGCAGGAGGACTGCTTGAGCCCAGGGGTCCAAGACCAGCCTCCATACCACAGTGAGACTCCTATCTCTACAAATAAAAGAATTAGCCTGACATGGTGGCACACACCTGTAGTCTCAGTTCCTTGGGAGGCTGAGATGAGGGGATCGCTTGAGCCCAGGAGATTGAGGCTGCAGTGAGCCATGATGGCACTACTGCACTCCAGCCTGGGCGACAAAGCAAGATCCTGACAAAAAAAAAGTTTCTATATTCCAACTTTGAATAGCTTGATCATTTTATCCTTTTTCTTCTGAGCTATGAGATTCTTACCCATCTGTCATTTACATTCTCAAGAACACAAAAAATGCTAAATATCTTATCACCAAACTTTGCTTTTGAATTCTGATATTGTTTTGTCTTTCTCATAAGATAACCGAATGGAAATCTGTGTACCGTGACCCACCCACACAGAATCATCATACCTGAATTGCTATGGGTAAACAGGACAATGTCACACTCCCGATTGATGGGGGTGGGCGGGCGCGGTGGCTCATGCCTGGAATCCCAGCACTTTGGAAGTCGGAGGCTGGCGGATGACTTGAGCCCAGGAGTTCGAGACCAGCTTGGGGAACATGGTGAGGCTCCATCTCTACAAAAAATTTAATAATTAGGCCGGGCGCGGCGGCTCACGCCGGTAATCCCAGGGCTTTGGGAGGCCGAGGCGGTGGGGGGGGGATCATCTGAGGTCAGGAGTTCGAGACCAGCCTTGCCAACATGATGAAACCCCATTTCTACTAAAAATACAAAAATTAACTGGGTGTGGTGGCGGGCACCTGTAATCACAGCTACTTAGGAGGATGATGCAGGAGAATCGCTTGAACCCGGGAGGCGGAGGTTGCTGCGCACTGAGATCGCACCACTGCACTCCAGCCTAGGGCATAGAGGGGAAACTCCGACTCAAAAACAAATAAACAAATAAATAAAGTATAATAATTAGCCAGGAGTGGTGGCGAGCGCCAGTAGTCCCAGTCACTTGGGGAGGCTGACGCGGGAGAACTGCTTGAGCCCGGGAGGTCGAGGCTTCACTGAGCTGTGCTCGCGATACTGCACTGTAGCCTGGGCGCCAGAGTGAGACTCAGTCCCCAAAAAAGCCACCAGAAAAACAAAAAAACAAATTGGTAGGGAGGAGCGCCTCGGGGTCGCAACGAACCCGCAGATTCTCAGGCCAGGTGGGGGCGCCCACTGCGCCTGTGCAGTGCCGGGTCTCCTGGCTAGTCGAGGGCGGGGAGCAGCGGCGGCACCTGGGACACAGCGATTGGCTGCGACCAGGAAAGAGCGGGAAGAAGAACTTGGCGGAGAGCGCTGATATCTGATTGGCTGTCAAGAGTAGCCCGCGCCAGCTGCCGGGAGGGGCCCGTAGGCCGCGAGCGCACTAGTCTCTGATTGGCTAGAGCACGGCGTGGGCGTCTGCGATTGGCCCGGCCGGTCGGAGCGCGGCGCTTGGCCACCTCTGCAGGTTCGTGGCCGCTGCGGCCTGCGCGCTCCGGGGCCCTGGGGTGGCGGCCGCAACCAAGCTGGCTGCGCGGCTGCCCCGCTCCAGCTCGCACCCGCGGCTCGCCCGCGCCCGCGCCCACTCGCGACTGGGCCGGGCCCGCTCGTCGCTGCAGCCGACCCCGCTGCCCCCGCCGTCCCTGCCGCATCCGCCGCTGCCCAGCCTGCCGCCGGGCCTGAGCCCCGGGCCACCGCCGCCCTCCGCGCTCGCCCTGGCCGAGCTGCCGCCGCTGCCCGCGCTCCCGCTGCGGCCCGAGCCGCTGGCACCTTGGGGTCCCGGAGCGCACCTGGCGTTGCCTGAGCTGCCGCCTGAGGCCTGCGCGCCCGCGCCGCCCGCAGCCGCGCTCGCTCTGCAGGATCTGCCGCGCCTGCCCGCGCCCGCGCCGCTACCCGCGCACCTGCCGCTGCCTCCGCTGCCCGAGGCCGCCGTCGCAGCTGCCCCTGGACCCATGGGTGCGCGCGGCCGCCTGCCCCTAGTCTCCGAGCCGCCCCCGCAGCCACTGCCGCCGCTGCCTGCTAGGCCCTCGCCCTTCAGCCTGCTGGCGCCCCCAGCTACCCGCGACCCGTGGCCACTGCCCGCTTTGCCCCCGCCCCCGCCCCCGCCGCCGCCGCATTTCTTCCTGTCGCCTCCCTGCTGACCCGGCGGTCCCGCGGCGGGTGAGTGAGCAGCCCCCCTGCCTGGACACAGGGCCAGTGCCCCTAGCCGCCCTCCCCGGGCATGGATTCAGAGGATGGGGGTTAGAGCCCGGTTTGGGGAGGAGATAAAGGGGAATCGGTAGCAGCCCAGGTGTAGTAGAGAAAGGGGCGAGTCTGAAAATAGACTCGTCTAAAGATTCGGGTTTTTCTTCCATTTTCCCCTGGTGCCCTCCTGCAGTCCTCTTGCTAGGTTATTTGAGAATGTAACCCATCCCCTGGGCTGATAACCTGGCTTGTGATCAGGGCAGCGGGCGGGGCCTACAGCACATGTCCAAGGAAATGGGGATCAAGGAGATGAAAACAAAAGGTTAAAGTGCTTTAACTATATCCAGATGTTTCATTTCTCTTAAAAATAAAGGATCTGGATGCCACGGCTAAGACCGTCCTCAGTTTATGACTGTTGAAAATTCTGATCCTGCCTCAAAAGACTTGAGAAGTCTAACTTTCAACTGAAACAGATCCAGGGGTTGGGCTGGCCGTGCAGACCAGGGAAGCTACGGTGTGGATTGATACTGGACCCGAAGGTCACATGCAAGGGCTGTGAAGTCATCCGCACGGGACAGGAGAGCTTCCCTACCCCTCCTTCCCGCGCTAGGCCCTGAGAGGAGGCTCCTGTTCTCTCTGGCTTTGCCCGAACCCCACCCGCCAGTTTCTGTGCAGCCTCTACGACTCAATAAAGTTCTCTTTGTTCCCTAGGTGGCCTGAGCTCAGGTAATCAGGCGGAAGTTCTATCTCAGTGGGCTCTTCTCCAGCAGCCCAGGACCGGTATCAGGAAGCTAACCTTGACCCTGGGGGACCCTGGAGAGCCGGGGACCCTGGAGAGCCCGGGACCCACCACCGAGAAAGGCAGTGTACTAGTTCCTTGTGACTGCAGTAACAAATGTGTACACACTGAGTGGCTTCAAACAACAGAAACTTATTCTTTACAGTTCTGGAGGCCAGAAGTCAGAAATCAAGGTGTGGGCAGGACCATGTTCCCTTCACCGGTGCTAGAGGAGGGTCCCTCCTGCCTCTCCCACTGCTTGGTGGCTCCAGGCCTTCTGTGGCTTGTGGCCACATCACTCCAGTTCTCGCCTCCCTCTTCACATGCCTTCTCCCCAGGTCTGTCTCCAATCTCCCTGTTTTTATCTTTTAAGAGGTCAGATTGTCATTGAATGTAGGGCCCATCTAAAATCTAGAATAATCTCATTTTGATATCCTCAATTTAATTACATGTGCAAAGGCCCTTTTATCAAGTAAGATCACATTCACAGAGTCCAGGGCCTAGGGCGTGGAGGTACTTTGCGTACCCCCATCCAATCCAGACAGGCAGTGTCTCTCTTCTTTGGGGCTGGCCTGCCTTCCCAGCTGTCTTCCCAGAATGGAATGTGTCTTAGGTCCTGTCTCAGTGACCTGGAGCCCTGGGTGCCCTTGGGCAGGAGCTGATGGCACTAGTACCTTGATAAAGGTCTTACTGGCACCTGAAGAAAATAGAGTGACTCTCCTTCTTCTTCTCTGACTTATGGCCAGGTGCCCATTCCTTTTGGCCTGCCACTCCTGGAACTTTATATAGTTCAGGACTACTCTCTCAGCTAAGAAACAGGAAGTACAGGGACAGAGTCTACCCTTAAAGACAGTGTAACCTCAGGGGCCCCCACCCTCACAGCGTGGGAGCAGTAACTGCTGCTGGTTGAAATCGACAGTTACAACTGATAATAAAGTTAATTGTTACCCAGTCAATGGAGTCTGCCCAGGTTTACAAGTGAAACCTCCATCATGCTCTGGCATAATATGCTTGCCTTGAGTCAACACTACCTCAACCCCCAGGGAGGCGTCAGGGTTGAAGCAGAGCTGTCTCTTCTCTCTGCTTTACAGCCAGGAGGCACCTGAGGTTTGGGCAGCTGTGACTTGCTCAGGGAGCCCTGGGGTGGGGGGTCCCACGAAGTCCCAGGAGTCCAGCCCACTGCCCCCTGCAAGTGGGGAGCAAAGGGCACTTTCCAGGCCAGGGATGTGGCTGTGAGAGTGAGCCAGCAGGTGGAGGGGAGCCTCCCCTGCATCTCCGTGGGTTTCCCTGTACTGGGAGTCTCAAAGAATTTGGGAAAAGGAGGAATGGAGCCGTGCTTGGGAGGCCCAGAAGAAGGAGAGGCCTTGCCCCACTGCCTGTCGGGAAAGAGGCTCAGGAGGCCCTCTTAGCCCACCCAGGGGACTGGCTCTGAAGCCAGGGTCTGGGTCGATGTTAGGCATCTCCTACTTCCTGCTCTGCACTTGGACAGGTTGGCTCAGCTCCGTGAGCTCCTTCCTATCTTTGAAGGCGTGCAGCAAGCCTGTGAGGGTGACTGCCGCGCCACCGTGATCTAGCTGCACCTTTTGATTTGGGAGCCAGGGGACTGGCTTGTCTACCTGTAAGATCGGGGTCTCGGCTCCCCCGGGTGCAATGGGTGACTCTGCCCTTGGTGTTCCCAGCGTGCAGCCCCCACACCAACCCCCGAACTCCTCCTGGCACATCGTAGCTCCTGGTAACTTTGTTCCCTCCCTTTGTTGTGGGGCCACACTTCCCCCTCTAAGAGGTGCAAGTTAACCCACTTCCACCCTACCTAAGCTGAACTCCGGTTTCTTCTGCCCACCTGAGCCTTCCTTTCCCTCTACCCTCCTAGATGGAACAAAAACGAGGTCCATTTTGTCGCTCCAGGAAGGGGCTAGTGGAGAGCCAGCTTCCTTTCCTCCTAGGGTAGTACAATGGGGAAGGTTCCCCTCCCCACCTCCTTCCCCAGACATGGCAGATGGGGGAGGGGACTTCGCTGGACATGTTAAAGTGCCATTGAGGAGGTACCACACCAAGGGGCCCCCACTTCTCCATATCAATGTCATTCCAGCCCCTCGAAGTCCCTGATTAGGCCCCAACCTTAACCCTTCCATTCCCAAGATCCAACTGAATCCAGGTGCATGGCGGTGCCTAGGAGAGGGTGTGGGGCCTCTCAGCCTGGGCCTAGCGAAGGCTGAGGACAACAGGCAAATTGCTGCCCACTTGTCCTGGAAATCCTCCCAACGTAGGCAGCTCCCCGACCACCCTCTTCCAGCCTCGCTCAGGCTCTGAGATGTATTTCCACATACATACTTTTACTCTGCCCACCCCCCCACCCAACCTCGGGCTTGGGGAAATACTTTGTTTTATCTTAGAGATCTGGAGTGGGAGACTTAGGGTGGGAGGAGGCTGAAGCTGCCTGGGGCCACTGTGAAGGCAAGTCCAGCGGGATGGTCACCTGGGTGGGGATATGACCATCTGCTGAGCAGCCGCCTCCCACAGCTGACCAGTTCCTGGAGTATGGGATTTCTTTCCTCCGCTCGAGTGTGGAGATGTTGGGCCAAAGAGAAATTGGGGTCTTAAAAACCTGGGGTCACTGGGCGAGGTGGCGCATACCAGTAATCCCGGCACTTTGGGAGGCTGAGGAGGGTGGATCACTAGGTTAGGAGTTCAAAACCAGCCTGGCCAAGATGGTAAAACCCTGTCTCTACTGAAAATACAAAAATTAGCTGGTCAAGGTGGTAGGTGCTTGTAATCTCAGTTACTCGGGCAGCTGAGGCAGGAGAATTGCTTGAATCTGGGCAGCAGAGGTTGCAGTGAACCGAGATCGCACCACTACACTCCAGCCTAGGCGACAGAATGAGACTCTCATCTCAAAAAAACAAAAAAAAACCAGGCGTGGTGGTGCATGCCTGCAATCTCAGCTACTTGGGATGCTGAGGCAGAATCACTTGAACCCGGGAGGTGGAGGTTTGGGTGAGCTGAGATTGCCTTTGCACTCCAGCCTGGGCAGCAAGAGTGAAACTCCATCTCAGACAAACAAATAAAACAACAAAACCTGGGGTTCTCTTATGCCTTTTCCAGGTGCCACACTCACCGGATGTGTGCAGCCTCCCCACCAGGCTATAACACAGGGGTTTAGAGCTGCCTGTGGAACCGGTGGGCCACCGAGGCAGGGCCCACTGCAAGTGGACCAGCCATTCTGCTGTCCCTCGGATGCAGGAATTAATATTCAAACTGAGATTGTCCCTCGAAAAAGTGGGACGAGCTGATCACCTTAGACCCAAGGCAAAGGAGGACTTGTTCAGGCCCGGGGAAGAGAATAGTCCCTGGGTTGGGGCCTCTAGGTGGGGGCCTTCCTGAGGGCCAGGCTCACTGGCTACCTCCTGACAGCTGCCCAAACCTGTGCGGCTGGATTCCTCGAGGCCCCTGGATAGCTGCGAGGGAGCCCACGGACTGGCTGGCCTCTGTCTGCCTTTCTTCTCTGCTCTCCCCACCCCCACCCTGTGAAATCCGAGCCCCAGGGGCTGGGCGAGCCTGACAAACCCTCTGAAGATTCCCTGAATCCATCGCTGGCCATTTTCCAGCCCCGGTCATCACCGCCCCCGGCCGCCCGTCCTCCAGACTCTGTGGGGCCACCAGGTCAGCCCCTTGTACAGGAGGACTCCCTCTCAGTGGAGAGGCCTGGGGGGTGGTAAAGAATCCAGACTTCTGTTTACCTTCCAGACCAGCTGATTGGCGCTGGCCTCAGTCTCTGTATTTTCCAGAAAAATCTTTTTTTTTTTTTTTTTTTTTTTT